TCAAAACTCAAACTCTCAGACAGGTACATTCTACCAAGTAAAAGTAAATATAATAATAGATTACGCTTTGGTACTAGCTTATTTCATTTTTTTCAAGCCCTGTTTCAACATGTGGCCAGCAGTCTTTGCCAGAATGGTACGGAACATCAACGGAATAGGGCCAGGCTGGTGCGTAACATGATGATAGCCCCGCACACCGAACAAGTTCGAGCATGAGAGCATGTATTTTCTCCTGCTGAATGGATGCCTGTGCAGCGGTCTCTAGCTGTCAACGCGTCTTGTCACGAAGGCGGTGAGTCTCCAAACGACGGGATATTTGCTCCGTCGTTTCTTGCTGTTGGCATAGCCTTTCGCAAGCACGGCGACTCTCGAGGCGGCGGGACCTCTCTTCTCCCTTCTTCTACTCTCTGTGTAGGCACTCCTGCCGACGCCGTCTGCTCAGAGCTTTAACACTGTCACCCCTGTCATTTTGCTCCTCCTCATAGTCCTCTTCTAATTATCTCAGCATTCTATTTATACAACAACTACGACCATTAAAACACTGCAATCTACCCGATCCTTACATTCCCAGCCCATTAGTACCACACCCCTAAACTTTCGACCGATAGTACGACACGTTCTATGGTCTTTTGAAATCAAACCGCAACCATTACAATAATGCGATCTAAACCATAATGAGCGTTAGCATGCTAACGCAAGTTAGCAGGCAGTCCAGCGAGCTGGCCCGACCTGCACGCATGCGCGAGTCACATGGTCATGCGCCCTCCAAGATCCTGTACAATGTCTCTTGCATGTCATTGCTGTTTTCGACTTTCGAGCATGCAACTTGCGGAACATGCGTTCCCAAACAATTTCCTCCACAATTGTGCTCGCCCCGGTGTATCTTGCTAAGCTCAATGTTAAAAGTGCATTCTGCCGAATTCCCGTCCGCCCGGAGGATTGGTCCTTGTCGATCCGCTGGCAGGATCAATACTTTTATGAGAGTGCCCTGCCCTTCAGACTGTATTACGCTCCAGTCCAGCTATATGGAACTCTGTCGCATCCGCCAGTGAATGGATTATGTGCTAGCAGTTCGCACTCACACGCCTATTGCATTACGGGGAATACCTCAACTAACGTTACTTCCTCAGTGCATGCTCTGGACTTGTGTTAGCTTGCCAGCAATTCGCTATTCTGCTCCGAGCATTTACATACTTCGATGTTTCTCTGGCCCCAGCAAAAGTGGAGGGTCCAGCTCAAGTCCTGACGTTATTGGCATCATCCTATTACGGGGAGTGCCTCGACTAACGTTTCTGTCTCCATGCCTGCTCTGAACTTGTGTTAGCTCGCCAGCAACTCGCTACTCGGCGCCGCGCGTTTACATACCTCGGTGTTTCTCTGGCGTCAGTAAAAGTGCTTCCTCAATGCATGCTCTGGACCTGTGTTAGCTCGCCAGCAACTCGCTACTCGGCGCCGTGCGTTTACATACCTCGGTGTTTTCTCTGGCGTCAGCAAAAGTGGAGGGTCCAGCCCACGTCCTGATGTTTATCGGCGTCATCTTGGACACCCGCCGCGTTAACATCAGTATGCCTATGGACGAACTTGCCGAGCTTCGTGATCTCCTTCGGGCCACTCTTCACACAGCTTCAACTACCCAATGTCAACTCGAGTCTCTTCTGGGAAAGCTCCCGTTTTCTACAAGAGTGATAGCCCCTGGATGCAAATTGCAGATTGTGGTCACTTGCCAACTGGTACCGGCAGCCGTGTTACCTGATCAAGCTCTCCAAAGAGTGCCTCAAAGATCTTCGCTGATGGCCTGAGCTCCTGGATTAGCGGAACGGCCGGTCCTTCTTCCTATACCCTAAATGGACGCCGTCCCCCGACTTGCTGGTATTCACTGATGCAAGTGGTGCACTTGGCCGGTGCTCGTACAATTGCGACCGGGGATAGGGCGATGGACAGTCAATCAAGCAGAGCAGCAATCGCAAAGGGTTGTTTGCAATTGTGGCAGCCCGCAGCACCTGGGAAAACTAGCGGCATCAGCTGCGAATGCCAATCGATGGGCATTTACAGCAACTGCGAGGATATTGCTCATCAGTTGTGGCTTTGGCCTGGCGTTGTACACCGGCCACTCGTTTCGAATCAGCTGCGGGACTCGATATTCAGAGAGGCGGGAAGGTGGAAAGCGATGTCTGCCCGAGTAACATTCGGACGCCACCTGCAGCCAAAGTATGGGTGGCTGCGGCAATGGCCTCAGCCCATGATATCAAGTTCTGACAGTCTTTACCTAGCTTGCACCGCTTACAGATTGCACGGGTAGCTGCACTTTGTGATCCGCTCCGGGAGTGCCGATTTATGGAATATATGCTCTCAACTGGTTATGCATACCAATATATTTAGCATTTGGAGGCTCTACTCAGAGTCATTGGCGGCTCCATGCAGTCATTGGCGGCTCCATGCGGAGTCATTGGCGGCTCCATGCGGAGTCATTGGCGGCTCCATGCGGAGTCAATTTGGGGCTCCATGCGGGGTCATTCGGCGGCTCCATGCGGGGTCATTCGGCGGCTCCATGCGAAGTCATTCGGTGGCTCCATGCGGAGTCATTTGCCGGCTCCAAGCAGAGTCATTTGCCGGCTCAGCTGCGAGCCATCTAGTGGCTCCAAGCAGAGCCATCATACCAGTTGCTCGAATCGGCACTCCCAGCTTAATCCAAAACTCGGTTGCTCTGTTGTGAGGTGGGGGGGATGCTAACCTAGGAATGGGTTTGCTCCCCACACTGGAGCTAGCGCTATTCCGTCGACTTGACACTTGACGGACTCACGACTGCCATCCAGAGTCGCCACCACTATTTCTAAACCATACGGCTAATTATTTTAGTTAGCTATCCACTTACCGGTACAGTAAAACCTGTGACTACCGACCACCCCTTGGTGCCAGCAAAAGCGGTCTTTAGTAGCAGGTGGTCTTTAGTTAGAGGTTTGCACCGCGTGACCATATGTGGATCCCATTATATGATATGTATGTCAAAATGCAGCTAATACGATTCCCCAGGACTTGCGCAATGTCAGAAAGACGGAGAGATGGAGAGAGAGAGAGAGAGAGAGAGAGAGAGAGAGAGAGAAGATTATTTTTTTGCAGACTTCAAATTCAGCTGCTACTTCTGAAGCCAGGAGTCAAACGTTCCCTGGGGAAGTTTCGTTTCGCGCTGGGCTTCAAATTTGTTCATGCGATCAATCATACCGACTGTCCTTGTTGTGACTTCTGGATTGCTTGAACGCGATCCTTCAGCATCAGGACCTTGTGGTGCTGCTTTGTTTCTGGATTCCTTGATGCCATCGTCAATCCGTCTGTATGACTGGTGTGACAGAGCCGCCCAGTCTTCGTTTCTCCTCCGAGTAGTAACATCGATCAGAGAGCGCTTTTGATGCGCTCTCCAAGACGTTTCCTATCATGTTTTTTCTTGACAGCGCTTGAAATTTTGACAGGTGTAGTGCAGTCCACACCGACTCCACAGCCAAAATTACCTGCATTCATTTGTTCAGCTGTAGTATCGAAAGATTCTTTTCAGGACCATGGAAAATCAGTAAAATTTCAAGAAGGAGCTTCGAGCAACATTTGATTTCCTACATCGCGGTCGCTAGTTACGGGTCAAAAATTGTGTTTGGGACAGGAAAAGGCGGTCGCTGGTCGCGTTCAGAAGGTAGTAGCTAGTCACAGTGCATTTTGAATGTGAGACCTTCCGTGCCTGGCGAAGTGGTTGGTAGTACCAGGCTGGTCGCTAGTGACAGTGGTCTTTAGTTACAGGTTTTACTGTATATCCCTTACCGAAATTGTATTCTTGAACGCAATATTCTTCTTTCTTTTTCTTCTACTCCGTTCCATCAGCACTCGGCCGATGGCAGGAGATTGGTACCCACTGGGCTAGCATGCAGCAGCCAAAGCTGGGGCCTTTTCTTACTCCGTCAAACCCACTTCTTAAAACGAAACTGACGTGCATATTCACATTGCATGTTGTGAATGTCCCCATATTTGCCCCGACATCTTAGCTCGTACAGCGCTCCAGATACATCTATGCTACGGTGCGCACCGCATACTCGAATTACGGTACGGGACACATACGGGATACTGCACCAACCATGGCATGCCACGTGAACCACCCTACCAGACACCGTGACACGCACCGAATTACAGCGGTGTGGATACTGGCTAGCGCCAGATGCTACTAAAGTACAACTGAATAGCGTCTTTTGCATAGTTACGGGAATAATCTCATATCCCAAGTATTGCAGCTCTGCTAATAGAATAATTCAGGTTACTCCCACTCCATTTCTCTAGTGCTTATTTTTCTGAAAAAATATCATCTTTGGCACCAGAATGCTGCCATCAAGAGTACATTAACCAGAGTGTGCAGCCCAAAGAGAATCATCCCACGGCAAAGTTTATTGTTTAGGGCATAGACTCGCAGTAACAGGCTCACCTTTGCTGCATCTCACACCGCTTCACACGGTCATCTACTCTATCACCATGGTAATTTCTGTTGCACATTGCTGCTTGTTTAACAAAAACGTAGAAAACACACCGAATTTCCAGGTAATTACCATGGTGATACGGTACTTTAGCTTGAACCTATTGTATGACGGGTTTTCTATGATTGATAATGACCCAGAGAGAAACTAAACCGGTATCGAATTCCAGTCAGCGACGCAATTCTTCTGAGGTGTAAAGTGACTTCAGGAATATGTTGCAGAAAACTGCGATGCATGCTGATTATTTACTGTGCCCTATTGTGCACAATATACCAGGTGTGTTACTCAGGGATGAAGTAGATGCACACACGTGCCGGGCATCACGGCACAGATTAGGTTTGCTACTAGCCGCTGCAGTGTACTTGTGGTCCGAACTTGCACTCTACTCAACTCTGCATACGCAAAGAGTGCTGGTGCCGAAATGAACCAGAAGGGTGCTGAGTGGGACGCAACAACACTGACTCTGTCTACCCATGTACACAGATATGATAGGGTATGCAGTACCTGCTCTAAGATTTAACACCAACCGGATACACGTCTACCTGGCACAATTCCTGCAACACTGGGCCAGAGCCAGATGCGTTCAAGTGCGGCTACTGTGTGTCAGGGAGTCGTAAACTTACTTTCGACTTCCTGATGTACATGATTGTACATGTACATGTATGAACGTACTCGCACTGGGCACTCTGGCCGCACGCATCTGCACGCGTATGCAGCCTGTCAGTGGCGGTATACCCTCGAACGGTATAAAAAAGTATAGTACTCGACAGGACTTCCGACCGGGTCTCAGGTAACCCAGTGTTCTTTTTCCAAAAGGTCCAAGTACTCAGAAACAGGGCCACTGACCCGGCTCTGGAGCAGACACTGGTAATCTAGGTCCAAGTTTGCTCGATTATGTTCTGACGCTTCATGTGCTTTCATAGCCAAGGTTTCTCACTTTCTTCGCAAGCTCTTTTAGTCTTGAGAGTTGACAACTGCTTATGGTTGTGTTGGCAGAAAACATGTCAGCTAATCTGACAACCGTCCAACCCCATTTTACTGGTAAGTAGTCAGCGAGTGGCTTTGATGGGGCCATACAGTACTAGAGGGGAAGTTACGCGGCATATTTGTGCTTCCCTTTTGAAAACACGTTCTCGCTCGAAGGGTTTCTAAACTTTATCCCTGCGCTCATTGATGGAGTTCATCGATGGAGTTGGCAGCGGCACTCTACAGAAGAACAATGTTGTCAAGTTTTTTATGAAAAATTGTCAAACATTTTCAAATTGCTATAAGTTTGGTTAGGGCCGGGTTCCACTGCGGCTCCGCAGCTCCGCTGCTCCACGGTACTTGGCTGCATGCAGCAGAGCGGCGCGGTTCCAGTGGCACTCGCCATTCACGGTACCGCGATCGTGCTCGACGTTTTTTTTATGACATTTAGCCTGCCTGCGCGCGCGTGAAATCCAAAAAAAATCCTCGTGTTCTGGCCTGTACAACGAATTAAAATTCCCCCGAATAAAACAATTAAGTGCGGGAAACAATGCAAGCCGTGACCGCGGCTTGCATTTTTTTGTATCAAGCAGCGAAGCGAAAGCTGGTGATGAGCCGCGGCCTCGCTGGACCAGCTCGTAATGATGACGTTTCATGCCGTGGATGATGTGCGGCGGAGCGGCAGTGGAACCCAGCCCTTAGGCAAAGGAAATTTGTCATTAATTTGTTTATGCTGCATAGATGGAGAGCTGCACACTCTGGCTTATGGACTCTCGCCTACAGTGTAGTCGTACTGCTAGTGTACTGGCATTACAGAAGACACGAAAAACGAGAACATAATTATGGCGAGAAAGTAATTACTGGCTAAGAATTGCCCTAAGACTTACCGCTTCTCAGTGCTCCATACCAGGAAGTAGTACACTACCTACTCCCTGCTCCATACGAGTGTTCTCTCCTCATTCTCTGCATCCTTTACCTCAGGAGTCTCGTCCATTTAGCGGCTCAAATGCTTGAGCTCCGGATAGCGGAAAATAGCTCGTCGTCCATTAGCGGCTCTAATACTAGTAATAGTACCTGGTCTGAAGTGTTGCAGTCTAGCACAACTATGATTTTTTCCAGGAGGGTAAGGGTTGCAAACCCAAAGAGACCCTAAGCTTCGTCTATCAAACAAAACAATTGCCCTAAAAAATGGAAGAGGAAAAGAGTGAGCGAGCTGGTCTGAGCGCGCTACTTTTCAAAAAATAGAAGCTGAAAGCCATCAAAGTCAAAGCATTCTGGCTAGCGCGTTTGTGTATGTCACGAGCGCTAGCGCGCTAGTCGCAGCAAACGCTCGCAGGCCAGAGTTAGCGCTATTTGGGCTGTTTGCCGCACGCGGCAGCTGGATGGATCACGTGATCCAAGCTGACAAATAAGGTCCGATGGTTCAGCTACATTGAGCCACAAGCGATCGTGTGACGTGTGACCCGAAGCACGCAAACAGACTCAGTACGACAGTAGATCTACCAGTGCCAGGGATCCCGGGAGTCAAAATAATGGGTTTTCACTTTTCACCACTCTCTGGCCTGCCCGAAACCAGTCCTGGAGATGTCCTAGATAGGACATCACGGAACCCAGCATGGCCCAGCATACATACATGTACTATGCTGTTCCCATAGTAATCGTGACACGTGACTCAAAACTTTGTGTCGCGTCCGAGGAAGAAGATGAACATTCGAACTCAAAACAAACGCAACGAAGGCCTCTTGTCTCAAAAGTAATTAGTTGTCGTTCTCGCTCCACATATACTGGCATACACAGAGACATAGACAGCAATAGCGACAACACACAAAGTGAAGGGTAGTTGGCCGCAGCCAGATGTGAACCGGATAACGAGTGAGGTATGGAAGCAAGCAAGGACTGAGAACAGAGTGTCTCAGATAGAATAGTCGTGCCAGTGGATAGCAGAAATAGGCCATGATGCAGAACCACTTGGGACCGTCAGATTAATTTTCCTGGACCGAGCCAGCCGGGAAAAAACCCTCGCGCAGACGGACGCATTTGTGAGGGAAAAAACCGGGTGTATATCCCCAATGGCGATTAGGCATCATGTAGGCATGGCAAGCACATCACGGCAAACAGTGATAAAAAGCATTGATAATATGCACAGAAATAAAGGGTGGGAGGGCAGGGACACTGGTGAGACTCAAAACTGACTGAAGAAGTCAGGAAAAGAAGCGACAACAAAGAACACACCAGATGCCATATTTGCAACTGAAAATATTTCGCGAGAAATAATACAACTTCTCCTGGCGGCTTGCCTCAAGCGAGTCGAGATTCGTATCTTGCCTCTTGCCTTCACGAATTTTATTTTCCTCGTTGTGGAGTAGATCTACGCCTGGACAAAGGAACTGGCAAGCGAATCATTTTGGTCGCGATGAAAACTGCAAGTGCACAAGAGGATTGGCGAAGCAATTATTATTTGTGTTCGCACTTTCAGCAGAGCAGTAGCTGCTGCTGCGATAAAGTTTTACTTTCGCCATTGGTTTCAGGCAGCAGAAGGATCTGGCTGAAAGCGATGGCGATACGTCCATGACCACCACGTCCTGGGTTGATATCCAAGAAAGACCGTCCAAGGTCTAGTTTTAGCACAGAGCTGTCGTATCCAAGAAATCAAAAACGCCAACAGCAAGCTTTGGCCAAATAATATCTTCCAGGCAGTAATTTACGGGCCTAGCGCCTGCTGCCTCGTCGTCCTCCGATCCTCTGCATGGCCAGGTTTGGGGCGAAATGAACGCACGGGGCCGGGGCGTGAAGAAACATTTCAAAGGCAAAACATTCAAAAATTAGAACCAATCGTTTCCAAAGAAGCGCCGCGCGCGTGGCTACGAGAAACCCCACATGAAATCCCCAAACGAAAACGGCCATTCGGTCGGGTATTCGATGGCGAATCGAATATACACTACCTCAATCCCCGCCGATGTCTGATATTCTCCGCCTATTCCCTCAAACTTGACCAATTCGGAAAGAAATCCATCGCCATTACGATCGTTCATCCTCCACATACATTCAGAAATGCTCACGCAGCACTTCTTTTCATCGCGTGTGCGCGACGCGAAGGACTAAGCTACATGTAGCTAAAGCCAGTAAAGGGACCGTCACTTAATTTTTGCCGACTACCCGCCAAAAAAATCTTTTCGTTTCACGTGTCAGACACGTCCGCGAGCGCGTACGACTCGCGCGCGCCTGCGCTACCTTTCACGTCAGGCAATCTGTTCACGCCACATGGCTGGATAGCGTGTACATGCAAACATGATTGAAGACTTGCAAAATTTTCCAAGTCCAGGCGCTAGGCCTAGGCAGTACTCGTACATAGTAATGGCTAATGCCCAGGCAGCCGACTTTATTTTCGGAGAAACACTACTCATTAGGCCAAAACAAAAAATAGGCTTGTTTCCGGTCGGCAACCCCTCAAAAAGGAGACTCGGTCGGCCGGAATGAAACTTTTTTTGGATACTTTTTTTGGTTCCTCAATCGTTGTGGTATTGATGGACAAGAGCACCTACACATGTACATTGTACATATATCATGGCAAGGATCAATGTCAAAGTTGACTGACTCACTGTTCTTGTACAGCATGTGGTGTATTCCTGTTTTCGTACATCCTGAGAAATCAAGCAAACAGTTCGAGTCCTTCCAGCTCCGTTATTCTAGCTCGTATCGACCCCATAGGCATAGGTTTTCGAGCCGACAGCTGAGAATCTCTGCTACCTTGTAAGTTGTAGGTGTTTCGATTGTGGAATTCGGTTGAGATTTGACTGAGCTATGACTCGTTGAGTGCACTTGCACACATGGCATTGCCACCGTTTGTATACATTTGGGACCAAAAAAAAGTTTCAATCGATATAAATATTCACAACAGTAAGACTCTAGTACTCTGTGATCAATCAGAGCTGTGCTTCGAAGTAGTCACAAATGCCCCATGATCAGTCACAAAACAAAACTTGGCAACCAGTCACAGCTTCCACGGTGCCCCAAGACCAGTCACCAGAAATGACCGTAGTAAATCTGCAGGGAGTTTCATAATCTGTTCATTGCAGAGTCCACTATGCTATGATTCAAGAGGGGGGGGGGGGGGGGGGGGGGGTAGCGTTCCTGCGGATGCGGAAAACTTGGCTGGAACCCGAGTGTCACGTGAACCCTGATTTTTAAGACTTTTATTATTTGTTTTACGATGAGCCTATTATACGCGATACAGGCTCAGAACACACTTTTCGTCTAGTTGGTATATCAGGGATATAGGGTGGAGCAGCCCATCTCCCCAATTATGACACGCGAGTAATAGTGAAATACGATTGGCGTATTGTGCTGGACTGACTGCGGTAATGTAAAGCTAAAATAAAGCAGTCAGTTTGCCCTTAGCATGGCCTTGTCATGAGGGTGCCACATCCGTGGAAAGGCAACATGCCGGCTAATCTCCCTGAGAAGTTGAGTGGTTATCAGCAGGCGATGACGCTGTGTCGATGATGACCTGTTGATGCCCGACAGGAACC